TATTACATTTGTTTCTTCGTCTCTCCTGGATTTAGATAGAGAGGTGCCAAACTCTCTGAAATATTGTGTAACTTCAAATTTAAGAAGTTCCCAATTTCTAAGGAAATTATAAATTAAAGCTTTTTTTTTTTTTCCAGAAATGGTTAATTAATAATTTGACTTTATCAATTACTAATACATTTTTAAGATGGTATTGTTAAATATAAGAGCCAATAAAAGCTTTTGAATGTGGGAGTGATGTTAGGACAGAATGAGGTGATCAGTGATATTGCTTTGTGATCGGTTAAAGGTGTCGATAATATTCTAGGAGTAATGTTATTTTTATCTAAGCAATCAGAAACTAACCAGTAATCTATGCGAGACATTAAGGTGTGAGGTTTATTAGCCTCCCTCCATATATCTATGAGATAAAATTTTTGTATAAAAGAGGACAAGTTAATAGAAGAAGTATTAACACTCGGAGGCCATAGATCTAGGAAGCTGTTCAAAGCAACGTTGAAATCTCCACCCATTAAAAGAAGAGCATTTGGGTATTTTGATAACCAGTGTAAAAAGCTAAATTCTAATACATCAAGTAAAAAATCATTTTCAGGTTTTGAATTATATCCATATACATTGGCAAGAAGGGTAATATAGTTGTTGATATTCAGGATTAAAATTATATAGTGGCCATTAGGATCACTTTCTGAGTGTAGAACAGAACCATTAAAGTTGTTTTTTAAACCCCTGCTGATCTTTCTGAGCCAGGAGAAAACCATAACTCATTTCCCCACTGAGTTTCCCAAAAGGACGCATCGTTTGCTACACTATGTGACTCTTGAAAAAAGCAAAAATCAGACTTTTGTTGTTTGGCAAATAAAAATAAAGCTTTTTGTTTAACATTTTTTAATGAGAAGACTGAAAGGGACAATGTAGGATAAGTGGACACAGAAAACAACCTTCAGATTCCAAATGGTGTAATTTAAACCATGAACAGAATGGAGCCAAACTGACTCAGCATGTCAGACACTAAGACTTAGAAGAAGCTTGCAGTTTGGAACAGTGTAGTTACATTAATAACTATCAAGGACAATAAATTCAAATTGATATAAAAAGTGCTGAAATGCATAGGGAAGCTGAGACTGTACTTAATATAGTAAACACATTTAGCAAAGCACAGGCAGCCAGAATTCAATAAAAAGCATAATTAATCCTTAAACGTTGGGTGAATTAAGATAGTGTAAATGAAAAGACAAACTGCCTTCAAGGGTAGAAGATAGAAAAGGATCCAAATATTAAGTGTGTAGGTTTTGTAGGTGACCAACTGAGCAGAACCTGTGACCATGCCTATGAAGGGCTTGTTGTGTCCATAAGGACAGGAATGACTTTCTGTCCAGTTGGGGACAGCGGTGACTTGATTTCTTTTCCCTCAATGATCACACGGACTCCAGCAAAATGGGCCTTTTTTCCTTCTTTCCGGGCGGCGTCAATTAATGGCCACAGTTTTTCTCGCTGAGCCTTGTCAGCTGTGGTGAGATCCTCTGTAAACCTCAGCCTGTTTTCCTTCAGAAAGCTGCTGCTTTTGGCCCTTGTAGACTGTGGCCCTACATGGGCAAACCCATATGGGATCCATCTGGTCTGCCCTCCTTTTCCCCATATGGGGCCCACCTAGGTATGCTGGCAGGGTCACAGCTTTCACGTCAGATTTTAGCGTTTCAATTTCCGTAAAAATGAAGTCAATTGACTTCTTCAGAGCATCGATGCTAGCGGTGTTACAGCTGACCATATTTTCTAATTTATCAGAGCGATCATTGATTATCTTAGCGATGTTGTCTTGCAATTGAAAGAGAGACAAGTCACCTTTTAGTTTCTTTTCCTCTGGTTTAGCAGGGGTATCTGGGTCAGAATCTAGTAGAGGAGACAGATCGGGGCTCTGTCTGTCCAGGGAACCAATGTAGTTGTTTGTGATCGGAGGCAGGGATACCTGCAGCTGGATCAGATGGGGAGCAAATCCGGGGACCACTAGCTGCAGTCGATGACATCGTGTCTTTGTGCAAGTCTGTAGCTATAGATTTAGATTTCCCCTTCTCTTTCCTTTTAAAGCCGTGCTCCGATCGTTGCATCGCAGTATATGTTTATGGAGCTAAAA